GTAAGAGAAGTGCAGGAGACCTGTGTCAACCAGATTTGGTTTGTCATCGGAGGGTTCACTGCTGGTGTCCTGTGTGTTTGAAGGGGTGTGGGGGAGGAGATTTTAGGCTTGAGTGAGTTGATAAGTGACAGCAGAGAAATGAGGGGACAAGGAAAAGTTACAAGAAGGATATTGGCATGATCTTGTGAAACTTGTCAATTCTTGGCTCTGATTTTGCAACTTGATAGAAAGGAAAATGGCATGCATAAATCTGTCATGTCTATGAAGGCATGTAGTGCCAAAGAACAAGGATGCCTGTTTGTTGCTTAAATACCCAGAGAAGTTTCCAAACTTTTATTATGTTCAATTAAATTTTAAATTTTTATAAAACGACTTCCAGCTAACCACATATGATGGCCTAGTTTGACATTCTTATTTTAATGAGAGTAAATTCCCATATTTACATGAGAAGCTTATTTTTGTGTAAAAAGAAACTCCACAAATATGCGTTGCATTTTCAAAATCTAGAAAGCATAACCACATATGATGGCCTAGTTTAACATTCTTGGTCATAATAATAATAAAAAATTACAGTAGAAAATCATTTTGGTAATTGAGAATAAATTTATTGTTATCAAGATTTTTTATTAATTTGATGATTAAGATTTAGAGCATGTTTGGTTTGATTTTTTTATTTAATTTAAAAGCTGTTATAAAACTCTTATGAAAAATAATTTTTAAAATTAAATTAAAGTTGTTAGATAAATTTACATTTTATAAACTCTTTTTTATAAATAAATTGTTTGGCAAAACAATTTATATAAACTCTAACTTTAGTTAAAATTACCATAAAGAATATTTAATAAATAAACTTTTATTAATCATGAATTTTTTGTTCAAAATACAAAAATTACATTTATTTTTTATCTATTTAAAATAAAATTTTGAAAATATAAAAAGGATTTTTATATAATATAAAATTTATAATTAATAATAAATTATAATAAATAAATAATTTATAAGTAACACATAATTCATAAATAATTTTTTATTGAATAATAATAAATAAATAAAATCAAGGGAAAAATTGAATCAAATAAAAAAAATAAGAGATGAAAGAAAGCAGTGAGTCGACTACTTAAAACCTTAACTCTAATAATGGAGGAGAACCTATAAAAGAATAAGAAAAATTTAAGAAATAATTCAGGAAAATCACATTTAGCTATTGATGTTTTTACTAGCAAAGTTAACTTTCATGAACAATATTATCGTAACAATCATAAGCAACAAATAT